ATGACAAGGTCGAATGGTTATAAACTACTGCAAGACCATTTCAGGTTAGACATAAGGAAGAATTTCTTTACTGTCCGAGCCCCCAAGGTCTGGAACAGCCTGCCATTGGAGGTGGTTCAAGCACTTAAATTGAACGCCTTCAAGAGAAAATTGGATGCTTGTCTTGCTGGGATCCTATGACCCCAGCTGACTTCCTGCCCCTTGAGTGGGGGCTGGACTCGATCTTCCAAGGTCCCTTCCAGCCCTAATGTCTATGAAATCTATGAAAAATACCATATTTACTCAAATCTAGGATGTTCCCTCTTCCCCCCCCCCCACACAATCAGCATAGGGGGAAAATAGCCTTGTCTTGGATTTGAGTACCAGTCCATGGCAGGCTTTGGCTCTGGGCTGAAGCTGGAGCTGAGCTTTGGCTTGCCCCAGGCTAGAAAGGCTTCTTTGGTGGGGGAGGGGGCACACAGGTGGAGGGAAGACTGCTGAGTCTTGGAGGGGGGGAAGGGGGCGGGGAACCCCTCAACCTCTGTGCCTGTCCTGCACCTCATATTCCTCTCCCCCCAGCTTCCCCCTCCTTCCCTCCCTTTCTGCTCCAGCACTGACCTGCCCCTGCCAGGAACTCCCACTGCTTCTCCCTGGCCAGGCTGGGGCTGCACTGCTGCTGACTGCCCTGGAGGAGCAAAGCTGCAGCAGGAGGTAAGGTGGGTGGATGGTATGCATGGGGGCAGGCTGAAGAGGGGAACAGAGTACCAGGGAAGCAGGGAGGTGGGGGGGCAGGCACAAGCATGGGGGCTAAGTGATATGGAGCAGGCAGCAGCAGGCAGATAAGCACAGTGGAACAGGCAGGAGGAGAGATGGACATAGAGGGGAAAAGAGGCAGGGAAGCAAGAGGCAGGGGCTAGTCCCTTACCCCAACCACTGCTTTCCTTGCCACAGCAGTTAGGTGGGGGACAAAGATGACTTTCTGCTACCTAGATTCTATACGTAGAAAATTACAACAAAGTTATAATTTTCTATGTATGGAATCTAATTATCAGGGGGATCATCTTAAATTCCAAGTCATCTTGGATTTGGTTAAATATGGTGCTTGCATGTCCAGTCCTAATGGTTGTATCAGTGATCTTTATACTATGAACCACGCATAAATTTACACAATGCACTCTAAGTGGGCTAGCAGGGTTGTTGACTTTGAAGACTAGTAGCACAAAAAATACCAATATAATTTTCACTGCTGAATGATGCATAAAATAAAGAATGATCACATTAAAAAGATCTGGACACTTTGGATCACAACTGGATGGACACAAGGCTGTGGGCAAAGCTTTGCAAGGTATAGTTCTCTTCCTCCTCCCCTCTTAACTCCATCACAAACAATCACTGATCAGTGAATCAGTATTTTCTTCCAGAAACAGATACCAATTTAAACTGCTGAACCAAGTGTAGAGAGATTTCCAAGGGGTAAAGAGATGAATATCTCCTGCACAGGAACTGGTTAGAGCTCATGGCCAAAGCAATTGCTGATACCAGACTCATAAAAGAAAATCTCATCCTTTATTGAGACAGCATTTCAACAATTACAAATACAGAAACAAGCTGGAATCCTCAGTCAATAGAAGTGAAGACAACTCTACCAGGTGTAGGAATACAGCACTGTGGCGCTTTACCAGGGTATAAGCAGAGAAATTTCCTGGGCTATTCAGCATTTTAGCAGCCTGGAATTTTACCTTCTCTGTGTTCTTGTGTTTATCATTCTCACAAGGAAGACATCTGTTACCCAACTGGAAATGACACCTCAAAGGATAGGCCTTTTCACATATTGGCTATGTTGGCAGTTGAAGCAAATGTTCAGCTGTAGATCAAGTTCCAATGACTCTGGCAATGATTAAGTTTTCCAGGCCTAAATTAACACCAAGAGTTTTTCCTCACTGTTATCAAGATTAGCAATGCTAGAGGAAGAGAAGGAAGTGGGTACTGTAGTTAGCCAAGTGTCAGTGGCACTATCAAGAAAGAAACAAGCATTTCCAATGCTTCTGAAATTACTAGTGGCAGAGCTTCTGTATGCACCTGTCGGGACAACTTACACCAAACAATTGTGGAAGGAACCAAGCAGTTGATGCTATGGAAACACTTGGATGCTTAAGGGGGCCACCCGCTTGGTAAGAGGGCAGCAGGACAGGCCCTATGAGGAGAGACTGAGGGACCTGAACCTATTCAGCCTCAGCAAGAGGAGGCTGAGGGGGGACTTGGTGGCTGCCTACAAACTCATCAGGGGAGATCAACAGCAAATAGGTAGAGCCCTTTTCTCCCCAGCACTGCCTGGGGTGATGAGGATTGATGGTAAGAAGTTGATGGAGAATAGGTTTAGGTTAGAGATCAGAAGGTAATTTTTTACAGTTAGGGTGGCCAAAATCTGGAACCAACTTTCCAGGGAAGTGGTCCTTGCCCCTACCTTGGGCAAATTCATGAGGAGGTTGGATGATCACTTATCTGGGGTCTTGTGAACCCAGCATTCATTCCTGCCTGTGGCAGAGGGTCAGGCTAGATGATCTGTTCAGGTCCCTCCTGACCCTAGCTACTATGAAACTATTAAGCAGCTACCAGGTCTTCAGAGGGGCTTCCACAAAAATTCAGGAATCCTTAAATTTTAGGAATCTCATAGGAGCTTGGATGTGTGTGGCTGCTGATCTAATTTAAGTCAGCATTATTCAAGTAACAGATTTTGCATTGTTGTTCAATTCACCCTCTACCTCAGTAGCCTGCAACCTTTTCAAGACACCATCTGGAACCACCCAGCTCTGGTCTGACGCAGACTAGGTAGCTTCTATGGTGTGTTAGCAGCAGGGTGCAGCTGGGGGTGGGAAAAGGTTATACACTGGGGCCAGGCAGCTAGGAGCTGTGCCTGTGGCTCCACTGCTTCTCTCAGCCCTCCACTCCTTGGCTGGGGTGGGAGCAGAGCTTCTAGGACAGGTGTCTGTTTGGGAGATATTACTTTCTTGGCAAGAGTCAATTGTTAATTTCCTTTAGAAAACCTTTCCCTGTCTTATTCCAAAGATAAGCCAAACTAGATAGGTGGGTTATGCCAGAGGATAGAAACATTCTGTCCAGCTTTGAGGATCATTCATTAAACATGAACTTTGGCCAAGAGGCACTGGCAGCAGAAAGACCATTTTAAAGAATAAGACCTTTAATAAGTTAATATGATTTTAACTCCATAGAAACATTTTCTATTACAGTTTTTATACTGTACACATAATGATGTTATTCAAATGTTTCATACACAGAGGTTAGATGCTACAAACACTTTAAAACCCAAGGAGTTTTGGGTCTTGACAACATTTTTATATTAAGCTCCTGACAGAACCCAGATTTTACTAAACACATAGGAACAAATTATTATATTGTTCTTGATACACCCTTGTCCACTTATACATTCTGTCTTAATGAAGATGTTTTTTAAATGCAAGTATTAAGGTTGAGAACACAAGATAAGGTGTTGGCTAGGAAACAGAAGGGTTTCTCATGTATGTTAATTGAAAAAAATAGTTTAATCCTTGTATTCTTTGCATATAAAGTTTAATATGATTTTTTTAATCAGCAAATTTTAGGATGACCTAAAAAGAATGAGAGAAAATTTTTCTCAGAATCCTCTAATAATTTGTCTCAATCTATAAAATGAACTGAAATTCTAGTGGCAGCACTAGTAGGTGACAGAGCATGTTTTACCTGTCTAAGACATTTAATTTTTTTAACTATATAACACATTTCCATTGAAGCTGGGCAAATGTCTTCCTAGCATCTAGTGGATTTAAGGCAACAGGGAAATCTAGATTGTTAGGTATAACTGGATTATAAACATCTGGGAATTATAAAACTGCACACCTCATTATGATCCCACAGGATATCTACATGTGCAATTAATTTGAAGGAATAAATTCCGGAGCAATTAGAACTGGAGTAAATTACTCCCAGGCACAATGTCTACACATGCACCTGGAACAGCAGCACTTTGAACTGGGGTGCAGTTTATGCCAGGGCCTCTTCTGCCCTGGATTCTGGGTGGCAACGGCAGGTAGTGGAAGAGCCGTCTGGGGCATGAGGGTGCTGACAGTATGGAATTGTGTGGCTAGGCGGCAGGCAGGAGTCTAGCTCCCTGCTGACTGGGTGCACTTTATGCCCATGGCCAGCTGCTACACATGAGTTTAATCACAATTAATTACTCTACCGTGAGATAGTATTGTGAGGGACAGTACTATCTTATGCCAGTATTAATTAGTTTACTGCAGCCTAACACTGTTGCACGTGAAGATGGTGACGCTTTACTCTGCAGCAAATTAGTCTACTCTTCAGTAAAGCGCATGTGTAGATGCGGCCATAGCGATATAAAATAGGGAAGAATTTCACTGAAGTCAGTACCTACAATGATGCAAAATTGCTGAGAGGTCCAAATCTGGAATCTTGTTTGTTTTCCAAAACCATATCTGGACACAGATTTTTTATTTTAGAAGAACTTTGTACTTACACGTTATTAATTTTTTTATCATATGCAGACAGTCTGGATTTATTACTGAAGTTATTCATATTCCTTTGAAGAAATCTATAAGCACTTTATGTAAATAATAAATGAACAGATATTCTGCAATTAGTATTTTATTCAATAAAGTTAACAAAGGCAAACACATAAAGGGATTGGTTTGAAAAGAACAAAACAGTTTAAGCTCGATGGTTATAAATGTGAGGAAGACGTAGAATTTTCATTTTTGTATTGAATGCTAAAACACACATTTCTAAAGGGTGTCATAGAAACACATAACAGAAAAATGCAACAAGTATGTCTCCTGCATAATGAGATTTCTTCATCAGTGTTGTTTGCACTAGTTCAATTAACTAGTCAGCGTTTATTTGTCAATGAATACGAATGAAGAGGAAAAAACAAGTCTTGAGCTAAACTGAAGGTGAGGAATTTGGATAATGGGACAAGAGATTAGTGTTCTAGCAAGGACAAAACATTGGCACATACCGCTCTCAAATTTCTTGGCTTAGGGCAGAAAAATTAAATTGTAGGATAATTAGTAGCTTGTGTCTTCAGGGAACATTTCTTACTTGTTATTGCATATGCAGTATATAAACTCCCTAGAATCCATTAAAGCCTAATATGTAGAGAACTTGGGAGTAATGAGCTGGCTTGTCCTAACATTAAAGCAGATGTGTTTACCTGCATTTCCACCAGTCTCAGGGTTTCTCTGAGGCTTTAAATGTGTAAACAACCACCAAACCCAAAATAACTCCCTTCGTGATCCCGAGAGATGCTTTTCGGGCTTCATTTCTACTTGTGTTTTTCTGTAATGGGAATTCTGATAATCTTTGGAATGTCTTTAGATTCAGATGCAGCTGCAGACAAAATATTAAACATACAAATTAAGGTAAAAATGTCCTAAATGTACCCAGACTAGGGCAACTTTACAGTCCAATGCAGCCTATTTTCTCAGAAAAAGCATGGGAGAAGAGCTGAATTTTGCCTTGCAATTTAATGGTCAGCAAATCTGGGTGTAGGTATATTGACGAGGGAAAACGTATTTCAGATCTGTAGATTTATCAGTTGACTATTCCTGCCTCCAACCCCTTTCTCACTGAACTGTTAAAGTATATCAACTGACTTCAATTTCCAGGGCTTTATGGATCAAAACCAACATACTGAATTGCTTCTGGAAATTAACTTGAAGCCATATAATGATGTTGTACAGATGTTGGATTCTCTCTGTAAGCACTGCTACTAAGCCCTCAAGCTGCCACATTCTACACTAGTTTCAATTTCTTGGTGGCATTAAAGCATAGATGATATTTAGGTAATCTAATCTAGAAGCGACAGAGATGTAAATTTCTATGGTAAGGTTTCCATGCCAAGAAAAAGGTCACAATTTCCTGACCTGGTATGTATGACAAAACATTCCTTCCTGCTGTGTCTATCTAGGAGCAGCTGAGAATGCAGTAAGATGAAATGCCATTCAGCAGAAGGAAACTGATACTATTAAATGTCATTTTTCTGCTTGTTTTCCTAGCCAATAAGCATGATTTCTGCCTGTTTGGATTAACTCTCAGACAGACTGCCCTCATCCAAGCTGATTCTAGGAAGCCAGCAGGTAAACTTACCAAATGAAGCACCTGAATCCAATGAACTGGGAAACAGTTATACATATATGATACTTTAGCAAGTATTTCAGGTGATTTAATGCCATTTATTCAGGGTTTTTGTTTTATTCTTATTAAAAGAAAACTTGCCTCCTTACGCTTGACCCACATTAGAATTACGTATTTCCATCAGAGGCACATTTTTGCAAATTTTGGGCATGCACGACTGCTGTGGGAACTGGCTAAGGCCATGCTCAGTGCCCCAGGTTAGAACAGGAACAGAGCCTGCTGGCACCCATGGGGAGGAGGGGAAGCAGGGAGGAAGAGGTGCAGGTGGGGAACAGAGGCTGCATGGAGGAGTAGCGGGGAAGATGGTGGGGTATAGAGGTGGACAGAAGGAGGAGGGGGGCAGGCAGCAGCTGGGGCTACGGCCCCGACCCCAGGAAGGAGATAGAGCTTGAGCCATAACAGCCACCTGCTCTCCCCATGCCCTCCTACTCAGTTCTAAGATAAGAGGCTCCCCCATGCTAAATGGGGAAAAAACCTTGTTTTAGACTTCCCTAACAAGTAGCTTTGTTAAAGTTTTAGGTAGCATAGTAAGTAAAATGATAAGATGCCAGCGAGTTAATATTAAAATTAAAACACACTGCCATTTTACTTTGTTTATGTTCCTCAGACAGATTTTGGGAATAGAATATTCTGCAGTCATTTCAAAATGGCAAAGTACTGGGTCTATAAGTATGGTAGAAAATTCCATAAAACAAACACCCCTACAACAAAAGTACTAATGTAAAAATATTTCAATATTTCTTTCTCTCTGTAATTGATTTATACAGGCACTCGGAGGGAGTTTTTGCCTAGGTCTAAATATTGATGTTTAAGGACATAAAAGAAATATATTAAAAGATATTCCTGCCTGTACATGACACTCCATGAATCTGGGACCAATAAGGCATGGAGTGGAACTTAAGTTAGAAATGTATATTAAAACTACACTCTACTAACATCAACTCCCACTAAGACCATCATTCAGCTCTGCTGTCTTACATGTCCCTTCCTGGAATATAAGAGTAATTTTATTGAGTGATAAAGACCTTGGGCTTTAATTCTGCAAGGTCCTGAGTATTCTGGCTCTGATCCACCACAGCACTTATGCCTGTGTAACTATAAGGACATTAGTAGTGCCACTGAATTCAGAAAGATTACTCTAATGCCTAAGTGCTTCTCTGGATCAGGGCCACAATGTTCTGGACCTTTTAGTTCCAAATCTTATCACCTAACAACTTGATGAAATATCTTTGAGTAGATGTACTTCAGGGAACACTGATAGGGCTCACCATATTTTATGCCACGGTGTCTCCATTTCTGTATTGAAATAAGAGAGCAGGATTCTCTCTCTCAGCCAAGAACTACAACAGAGCAGCTTGAAAAGCAGCAGTCTATGGGAACATACAGAGTCATGCTCAAGTCGTAACACCAGCTAAGGAAACAAATGGCATTTTTCTTTTTAGAGGACCTGTTAAAGGAAAGGTAAAATAAAAGTAGGCAAAAAAATCCCCCCCAAAACCCAAACTCTCCAGAAACTGACAGACCTAACCAGATCAGCTACTGCATGTGAGCATCTCATTGAAAAGGCAAGCAACACAAAGCCATTATCCCACCTGAACAGGGAGACAACTGTCTGCTTCTGACAAGCTGGTGCAGTGGTGAAGAGTTCTGAACTCTGAATATCCTGAAAATAGTGACAGGTATGACAGACACATAATACTGAGGTTCAATTATAGTAATTATAGCATGTAGAGGAAAAATGCATAATTGAGTGACAGACAGCCACACTTATATTTAGTGTATTCCACTAATGAAACTGAAAACTCAAATGGTACATAGTATTAATAAACAGATTGTAAAAATACTTCATTGTAAGAAGTTTTACAGGTTCTCTCTCACCAAGGCTTTTTCATGGAAGCAAATTCTTAAGAAAATTCTTTGCTTATAAGCAAAACTTCCTATATGTTGCTATAGAGTCCCTATCTCTTCAAGTCTACCACAAAATATATGCATAATAAATGAAGAATGAAACCTAAAGAACCACTTTATTTTTTTCTGTTAGTATTTTGCTTTTCCTTTCAGAGCACTGATTTAATCTATAGGTTTGACAAAAATCATCAGTGATGTTAAAGGTATGATTTTATACCTTTAATAAGATTTTTAAAATATGGTCTCATCAATGATACCAAGGTGCAGGTACATCATCTTCACAGACTGAGAATTAAAAAAAAAAAGGTAGGAAATCTTACAGGTACAAAATAATGAAAAGTTTTAACATAATACTTGAAGGGAATTTAGGTTCACTTTTTCAATCCTTTCACATAAGGTAAAGGACATAGCCTTGTGAAGTTCTTGTTTATATTATGGCCTATGAAGTATTATATTAGGGTCAAACTTTTAACATGATAGCAGCAATAATGGAGTATATCTGATCTCAGTGGATTGTCATGACTGAAAAACACTGGAAGACTAAAAACAAAAGGAAATGAATTACATAAATATTACATAATGTTTTGATGTTCAGATTAATCAAGCAGTGAGTAAAGGTTGCAGCCACATTGTGATTCTTTTTCCTGTCAAAGCATTATAAAATTTGTTCAATGCCTGAACAATGCTGTATCATTGTTCTAATCCACATTACTGCTTTAAAAAAGTGCTCAGTTTTAGTTTCCAATGCTTTGGAGTATCCACTGAAAAACTTCCATAGACTCTTCTAGTGCCGGTTTGGCTGTGATCTCTCTTGTATGTTCGATATAGGAACCAAGGATGATTTTACTGTAAATTAGTTAAAACTATAAGCTTACTTTATTTACATTATTTAAAGTTTTTTTTTTCTTCCACACCAATAAAAAGTGTGGGAGGGATTACTACATGCTGTACAATGTAAAAATAGATTTTAAAAAGCCAAAACAACATTTGTGAGTAAAACTGTACAGTGTTTGTTCTGTGCTCAAGTACATTGCACTATTAAGTTAAAATGGATGAGTTCAGTCATCATGCCCATTGTTCAGACAGACACAGAAAGTAAATACATACATGTTTAGATACAGTGCCAAATAAAAAGAAAAATACTATGAATTGTTCAAGGAGAGCTTCTTGTCATAGGAAGGAGCATGGTTACTTCTGAAGAAAAGCAGCCATCTTCATGTAGGACAAAGAACTGCAAAAGAACAGTATATGCATAAAATTCAATGAAAACAGTTTGTAAAAAAATATTGTAGGGTACAGTAAACTGAATGCTTAATTCTATCCTATCCAAAACAGAGTTACTGCTAGAGTAACTGAAATTGATAATTATGCTCCCTTACCCCAAGAGCGTGTATGTGTGCACGCACGTGTGTGTAAGTATATATATACACACACACACACGTCACAAAACCCACTACTATTTTTTGACTGTTACACAGAAATGAGTTAAATTAAGAGGTCATGTCTTAGGCTGGGGGGTTATGCAATTTATGTTCTGAGGTTTCTGTTCTAAAGCATTAACTATATTCATGAAACATTCAGGACAGACAATGAGTTGCCATGCAGTGAAATATTAAAGCGTGTATTATAGTTCTTTGGGTAAATGTGGTATCTTTTATTAGACCCAATAAATAGTTGGGGAAATTGTTCTTTGCAAGCTTTCAGGCACAAACACCCTTCCTTCAGGCATAGGGAGTGTCTGTTGGTGTTGTGTGTGCTCTCCTGGGTGGAATAGAAGCCAAAATGCAAAATGTAGGTCTGTCCTTAGGCCAACACAGCTACAACCAACAACCCTAAAGAGTGTATTAAACATTTCAAATGTTAACTTTACAATATCAGCCCATTGTGTGTACCCGACAGATCACATACAGTGGGGAAACAAGACATGTCCTTCACATTTCTCATTCCTCTCTCACATGTAAAAGACACAAACCTCAGAGCCATCCACTTTTCAAACCAATGCTAGCATAACACAAAAACAAAGAAGTCAGGTGTAACAACAACATACAAAAACTTAAAAATAAATAAAAACAAAAAAATCTTTGTCAACTGAGCAAAGTGGTTCTGGTAAAAAGTAAAGAAAAATATTGAACACAAGGTTAATTTTCCCTTTTATATTCAAACAAAAAATTTAGTTTCAGTCTATGGATAACTTGAAGAGATCACATGCAGGATAAGGAAACAAAACAATTATAAAAGATGGGAACCCATACCATTTTTACATCTCAATATCTAGTAAAATTAACAAAAACTTAATTTGGCAAACTAATTTAATTTAAAAAAAGGGAATACGTGTAGTTCCTTTTTTTTTTGCCAGTCGTATCAATAGCTACATATTTCTTGAGCTCTCACGATATCACAACTACTTTTTCGTGTACATCAAGTAAGCAAGAATATGCAGATAAGATTAGGTACAAATTTTAGGCCAGCCAATTTTTTGCTGTAATAATGGAATATTTCAAAAAAGACTCTCATAATTAAAAGTTTGCATATGATTTTAAAATAATGTTTTTAAAGTATATATCCTTGCTTTAATACATAAGTGTCCTTATATCAGTAATAAAGAAATCCTTTTGGGCTTCTATTTGCATTATTTATCATAGCGCTAATATATTATAATGCATTATAAAAGCTGAAGGTTTAACTTCACAGAAGTGAAAAAAATAACTGGTTATCTATTTGGAGTTTAACATCATCAAACTTAGAGCTATATATTTCACTAGCATCTAATATGTCTTGCCACAGTAGACTGAAAATAGTACATATTACACAGATTGTAGATGTGTCATTCTACTGTATATTATGAGCTAATATTTGCCATCTATGTCCGTTTACTTGCCCTGTGAAGCACTTCAAAAAAGCCTGAAGCTCTTCAAATGTTATATTTGTCTAGGACCTGAGCTACCCTGTTTTTTTCCAACTACTTTACTGAATTATACGCTCACATCTAGCTGGTCTCAAGGCCTCTTTCTGGCATTGCTATTTTTTAGGATTTTGCCTTCCAACATTTCAGACATTGTCTTATATCTTTTTGCTCAAGTTTTTTTTTAAAGTTATATTACATTTTTTATTATTTCTTTTATGTTATACCTCTGCCCATATTATTTCTGTTTGCTAGTTCGCCCAATACCTAATGCAAACACATAATTTATCATTTATTTTATGATACTAACTTAATGTAGGAGGGTGAACTGATGTGTCTCTGGGTTCTATGGCACATGACTAGAACACCTGGAAACAGAACGCTGGTCCTTGGGATTACAGTTCACTACCCTTGCCATTTGACCAAGCTACCCTTTCTAATTAATGAATATGTTGACCTACGCACTTAACTATAAATTAATGAAGATATTAAATACCATATGAAGTAATGAAAACTACACACTAGATGGACATCCCAACACAGAGTTAATTAGTTACCATTAACCATTCATTAATCCTTCACAAAAATGATATTACTCCCTTATGTCAAGGCTCAAACCCATTTTAAACATACTTGATTATACAATCGGCAACATGTTATATAAAAATGTTTGTGATATGCGGAGAATACCTACATACTTCACTGACGGATTTTTATTCCATCAAAACAGGAATAATATTTGACAAGATTTAACACACTGTACCAGCTCTGTTGCTCACAGTTAGGGATCTACCAAAATTGCGATTTCACAGTAATTGCGAAATCTGGCATTGCTGAGAGGGCTGCCTGTTATGTGGTCTGACCCCTCTCAATCAGTTAGCAGCAAGAAGGTGGGGCCACATGATAGACAGCCCTTGCAACTATTCAGTGGTGAGGAGCAGGGCCACCAGTGCATGTGGCATGCAGGATTGGTCTGATACCCATGGGTGGATCACACAGCTCCACAGGCCAGATCCAGCAGGCAGACCATGTGGGACACAATGTATTACATTAAGGTATGGTGAAGATGGCATTTGCTAGAATCACTCCTTTTGAAAATTACTATGACCTTTTTTTGTTTTCTATCCTTCAGTACCAAGTTCTTGGTAATCTTTCAGCAAAAATTGTCAGCACAGTAGCAAGCTTATATTTTAATTCTCTTAATGTGCCCATCAGCTGTACATACTGATTGGTATATGTTCAGTTTCTTAAATATATTCTTTCTGCCTTAATCAGCAATGATAAAAGTGCCTTAACATAATGGTTTGGTGAGGAGAAGAGACCTATCTGGGGGAATGTTTGTTCACCAAAGCGTCCCAAGGGATGACGAGGTTGAACAGTTATAAACTACTGCAAGACCGTTTCAGGCTGGACATGAGGAAGAATTTCTTTACTGTCCGAGCCCCCAAGGTCTGAAACAGGCTGCCACTGGAGGTGGTTCAAGCACCTACATTGAACACCTTCAAGAGGAAATTGGATGCTTATCTTGCTGGGATCCTACGACCCCAGCTGACTTCCTGCCCTTTGGGTGGGGGGCTGGACTCGATGATCTTCCGAGGTCTCATCCAGGCCTAATGTTTATAAAATCTATGAAATTATGAAATAAAACTCTTTTAGGAAAAAGAAGGACTTTGGTGACACAAAAGTCAAATGATTTTAACACACTTGAATAACTTTGATGGTGTAAATAACCCTTTTTTCTGCATTTAATCCTGGACTAGACCTTGAGACTAAGAAATCTTTCTAGCATGTATCTTACTACCAAAAGCCCCAGTTCAGTTATAGCAAAATTGGGTCAGCTATCATTACAAGACACAAAAGTATCCATCTGTAGTGTCCATCTGTTCTTGTGCCAGAAGGCATACCAACACATTCAAAAGGGCATAGGCTCTCAGAGGCACCAGCCTACTTTGTCACATACTTCTGAAACAGACTGCCACCCATGAAAGCTTATGCCTTTCTGAATGAGTCAGTCTTTAAGGTGCCACCCTGCCTTGCCTTCTGCCTGACTACAGACTAACTCAGCTAACGACCTCTACTTGTTCGTCTGGACAATGGTATTAGGAGCTTAAATGCTCACAGTTGTTATGGTCTTCTTTTTAGTTACAATGTTATTTTTTCCTAGTCCTTCAAAAATCCAGCTCAAACACTTTGCCTTGAAATTCGGGAATGAAATGAACTATTCTTAGATAATAACAAGTGATTCTTAGATAATGCACCATCAAAGACTGATTAAAGGAATTACTTTGAAAAGTTTAATTCTGTGGCCATAATCCTTTTAAAGAATTTTCCTTGTAACATCACATAATAGACCAGTCGCTGGAAACATTTTGCTGTATGAAATAAATATTCAATGCATCCTGAACCCACCAACTTACAGGTCCTCATACATCAGCATGGGAACTGGCAACTAGATGCATCACCAGAAAACTGTGTGGACTTGCTTGAGAAGCAGTGGGTGTATCTACATATGCATATTAATGCAAAGCAATAAACTCCCGAGCAATAACCTTATTGCTCGGGAGTTTTTTTCTCTGGGCGTGCCATTTGCACACGTGCTTGGGACTGTAGCATGTTGAGCTGGGTCAGAGCAGCCCTGGTAGGCAAGAGACCCTGGGGGCCAGCCTGCCAGCCCAGGGCTGCTCCCCTCCACCTCAAAGTGTTGTGGAGGGGCTGCCTGGGACACAAGGGTGCTTCAGTGTGGGGGCAGATGGCAGGCAGCTCCTGCACTGAAGCACCCTTGTGTCCCAGCCAGCTGGTCAGTGTCACATTTATTTTTGCTCTTGTGCACAAAAAAACTCTGCAGCAGAGTAAATTAGTTTGTTCCAGCGTAATAGGGGCCCACGTGTAGATATATGACATTTATTGCACAGCTAATTAGTCTACTCCTCAGTAAATGTCTCTTGTAGATGCATCCAGGATAACCTACTTCCACTTAGCTTTAAGAGAAGCATAGGTATCTCTTCATCACACTTTTTGTTTGTGTGGACATACCATCAGAAGAACAAGAATGCTCACAACTTGTCTACTCTTCTGATCCAACCTGTGAAATCTCGTATTCTTGTAGCTTTGCCTACCATAAGGCTATTGCTATTTTTTTTTTTACAGAAACATAAAGAGGAGGGATGTAAAGGAAAGTATCCAGACATCTAGTCTAACCCCTACAGTGAAGCAGGACTAAAGCCACAAAGAGTTATTCATTTCTAGTGATAGAAGTTTCTGAGAAATTCTGGGCAGCACACAGGACATTTAAAGCCCACAGGGGTGGGAACCTGAGCCTGCTGCCCATC